TACAATAGGCCAGAAGTGGCCGCAGTACAAGGGAGTTAGTCCCACCCCACTAGCAATAAAAAAAACCCAGTGTTACGTTTCGGAAGAACGTATCGCATCCATCTTCAGGGTATAAAAATCCGCGAGCTAGGAACCAGCATGAGCAGATGGCTGCAGACAGACTGGAGGCGATACGTTTCTCCGAAACGTCGGTTAACACAATATCTATGTCTCCGCATCCCAGAAGACTTCATTCTTCAAAAAATAATTCCAAACGCCGGGCTCTTTGGCTCAGTCTGTAACGCTTTTAACTTCTGTCCGGGAAGTACCTTGTTCGAATCTTGACCAGGTTACCGAGTATCCTGATTGACGTTTTCCGTGATTGCACCTAGTCTGTCCGGGTGATTGCAGGGATCGTGGCTGGAAATAGGCCACTACAGCTTCTTCGCGAAAATTTTTATAAGCCACAGTCTATTAATTATGCTAAGTTTCGGCGCCGCACACCATGCGTTACTGAGAGCGTCCTGAAATAAACGAATCTGGTTCCATAGCAACACTGGGTGCACTCAAAGCGACAGGCCGGAAATCCGCCGAGAGAAGATGTTATGAGTCACACTTTCCGCTACGTACGTGCTTACACGTATGCAGACACGTCAGAAGCCGCTGCAAGCGTGTTCACAGCATTGTGTGAGGTGTTCATTCATTGTGGATAAAAGTACGGTGGCTACTGTGGGCTGGAGGAGCCACGCATCTACACATTCCTTGAATTTTTGGAAAGAATCAGAATTGAAGAAAAGGTGGAAATATTATTAATAGAAGCCAAAACAATTTAAACACTATACAAGTCAGAAGTTTGCGTGTTGGATTCCCTATTGGGTCACTGGATTTTTTTTTTCAGTTGACCTAATCCTTGCAGCCGCACTATGGCCCTGGGGTCCACTTAGCCTCTAACAGAAATGAGTACCAGGAATCTTCGTGGGGGTAAATGGCGGCCGGCGCGTAAGGCTGACAACTTCACCGCCATCCGTGAACCGATTGTCTAGAAAATGTGGGAGCCTCAACGTCTCACACCCCTATGGGCCTTCATGGCCTGTTACAGGGATAGCTTTACTTTTTTTATATTTTTAAAATCGATCGAATTCGCTCTGATCGTCAGTAGGAACCAGAGGTGTCCATGGCAAGGCCTCTGCTACATAGCAGAGCGGACAGATCGCTAATTTCCATTTTCTGTTCGTTGTGTCGCGCTTGTGAGGGGCCTTTGGCGCGTTTACAACCCCTTCTGGGTACCTCTGAAGTCCATTTAGTTTGTTGGCCCACCTGTGCTCCCAAAACATCTGCAGGACCGCTTGACGAATTCCGCTGAATGTGATATTGGGGAATCTTTTGAGTCCTTTCAAATTTCATGGGAGCAGACGAGTCTAGCGACCACTTCACGTGAAGACCCACATGGGTTCATCGCATATTTGTATCATAACTCGCGAAATGTTTGTTGGAGGGGCCGATGTTGTGGGCAGAGGTTTCACAGAGAAACGAAACACATTTTATTTCCATTACGCTTTCTGCGTGCCTTTCGGCTTTCCAGGTAATGAAACAGAAGTGATGGTATGAGTACATTTCGGAACTTATGTAATCAACAATCAATCTCCGGACTCAGTCGTAGTCTTTAGTGAGTTTAGACAGTATTAAAATAATATTTTTAGTGTGGTGCGTACTGCTGTGTTATAATGTAACTTTGAAGCATGGGTTAAACACTGTATATGTTACCGTAAATGCCCGAATTTTGGTAAAACGCAGGATTTACACGTTGAACCTAGGCTTTCCAAACAGTATTGGTAAAGTAAGGTAAAGTTGCCTCTGTGCTTAACTTATTAAGTACTACCTCATGAAGGTGTATAGAGATATAGAGGCACGTATTCTAGACGTCGGTACTAGATGGAGTTGAGTGGTCAGGTTCACGTCCCGGCCGCTTTTCACCCAATACCCACTGGATAAGAGCCTGGATGGGCCTCAGAGGCTTGAAAAATTGTAATTTATAAAACGGAAAGTAGAAAGAGAATCGATTACAAGAGCGAGTTACTAAATTTATACTCACTCATGGAGCTGAGCCCTTCTTGAGAAGCCGACAGTCGCTCGGCTACTCAAGAATTTACCAACATTTCATGGAACGCGAAGGTTCATTACCATATTCACAACTGCACTCTAATATTCCCTATCCTGGGCCAGATTAATCCAGTCCATACTATCCCATCCTGTCTAAGTTCCATTTTAATATTGTCCACCCACCTACGCCTTGGTCTTCCCAGTGGTCTTTTTCCTTCTGGCTTTCCCACCAATATCCTACATGCATTCCTCTTCGTCCCCATTCGTCCTACATGCCATGCCCATCTCATCCTCCTTGACTTGATCAATCTAATTATACTTGGAGAAGAGTACAAGTTATGAAGCTCCTCATTATGCAGTTTTCTCCAACCTCCTGTCTCTTCATCTCTCTTCGGTCCAAATATTCTCTTCAGCACCCTGTTCTCAATACTAAATTTGTACTCTAAATTTGGATATATATATTTCTGTACGCTGTACATTGTAAACTCTTTTTCAATAGCAAGAAAGCATTTTATCACTGCCGCCGTCTTCTCATGGAATATGAGGTTCTACTAACAGTGAATGGTAAAAATTCCCAAGTAAGACACGAAGAGTTGTTACTTCCGTATTTTACAAACACTGTTTTGTAAATCCTAGGTTTTACCAAAATTCTGACCACTCACCTCCAACTAGTGCCTAGGTCAAGAAAACGGTTATCTATATTCATTTCCTCATACTCCTTCATGACGTAATTCTTAGTTCGTTAAGCACAGGGACAACTTTACAGCATGTTTATTTACTTTTCGTTGTATGTGTATAATAACATCGAACATCGAAGCCTTAACGCTGTATCCTGGTTCATTCAGTATGAGGACCCAACAGTGGACAGTTTCGTGTGACTGTAATGTTTGCTTATTGCAAGGGGATAGTTCTCATCGCAGTCTTAATCATTTAGTTCACAGTTCCTTCTGCCGAACGCCCCTGTGAAGTATACGTTGTGCACATTACTTCGTAGTTACACGAAGAGCGCTGCTTACCGGGGGGGTCGTGTGCAGTTCGCGTTTTAAGCGCTCTTACCCTACGTTCAAACATACTGTAAAGAAGAAAATGCGCCAAATGAACTTTTTTTTTTTTTAATTTTTAGGCTTTCATGGTGGTTAATTATTAACATTAATTCAGTTCTTGGGTTGTTACACCTTGCAGAAGTGAGCGATGTTGCCGATGTTTTGGAGACATACGAGTATTCAGCCACCATCATCAGGGTCGACCCTGAAGATGGCCTGGTGGCCCTGAAGAGGCAAATGAGGGGAACATTATTCACTCCGAGTAACAGCCGAAGTATGGAAATAACGTCAGTAAGATAGTAATTTAGCGGCCTCCGTAGTCTAGGGGTAACGTTCCCACCTCGTGACTCAAGGTACGCGGGTTCAAACCCGGCGGAGGTCGTGGAATTTTTAAGAGCGGAAAAATTCAGGGAACAAGTCCTCCGGGAGGGACTTTAAGCCGTGGGTCCCGTGTCGTAGCTTTACGGCACGTAAAAGAACCTCATGTCCTAAGGGGACCACTGAGCCAAATTCAGGACATTTCCCGCCCAAGAGTAGTCTCTAACGCCTCTGGTAGTTGGCGGAAGCATCGAGATACCGCTGAGCCAGTAGAGGTCGAACTCGCTGGCTGAGTCGGGACTGATGGCACGCACCAGTACCGGTAGGGAATAGAGACTGGTAGAATATCATAGGAGGACGCACAATGGACCAACAGTTGGTCTAAGTGAATGGGGAAACCCACCCTCTCCAATGCAATACAATACAAGATCGTAATTTGCAGAACACCCTGTTTCGCATGCAGTTACACAGATCTCGAGTACTACTCTTTTCTGACACAGGGAAAGATTTACTTCTAGGTATTACCCCTGGAAAAGTTGAGTCCACTCCGCTGCACAGACATATTAACGCGTTACATTTGCGGTTCTCACATCTGGCACTGTGAAGATGATTGTCTTGTGCTTCTTGTTTGGCCTCCTCTTTAACCCTGAATATAGAAGCAGTACGGTCCTCCGAAACATGCACAGACTTCCGAGAGACTACGCGGCGTTGCTTCCCACAAGACCTTTTATCAATTTTTACTTCCTCATACACAGAACTGAGAAACTGTATGTTCACAAAAAGACAATAGAATTTATTAAACATGCAATTTTTAAGCACCTAGTTCACGTATTTGCCTGTTGCGATTCACATGTAATGTATCCATAACTCGGTATGGGAAAGCAGGACGAGGCCCTCTCCAGATTCTGCTAGACGTTTCTTAACAGCATCGGGTACATGTTCCAAGATTTGTCAGTTTTTAACAATATTAATCAGCTCGATCTCCCCAATATAAAAAGTAAAAAAGTAAAGCTATCCCTGTAACAGGCTGTGAAGGCCCATAGCGTTGTGAGACGTTAAGGGTCCCACATTACCTTGACAGTCGGCTCAAAGATGGCGGTAAGGTTGTCAGCCTTACGTGCTGGCTGTGCTTCACTCCCAAGGAAAATTATTTAATTCATTCCTGGTACTCATTTCTGTTAGAGGCTGAGTAAACCCCAGGGCCTAGTGCGGCCGGAAGGATTAGGTCAATTGAAAAAAATCCAGTGACCTCATGATCTCCCCGATATAAGATTATTTAATGTACATTCATATTTATATAAATTAAAATTATCAATTTACAACGGTATGTAGAACTGTTGATAAAAATTCAGCCATTATTTTTCTCAACTACTCTTTATTCACTATCATACAGTATTATGAAGAGGGACATGCAACAGTTAATCCAATTTGAAACTATGCTCACTGGTACATTGTCTTTCTATTCTGTTCTTAATTCAGATAACTCATAACAGCAGAATTATGTTTCAGTCAACATCATATTGCAGAAACAGTTTAATTAATTATGTACAAATGTTTCAGAAGATCCAGGTGGCGGTGGTATGTATACAGGAGTGGGGGTAGGAGATGGAATTCAGACTGATGACAGCTATTCATCCTCGAACACTTCCAAGTCAACAGACACTACTTCAGCCTCCTCTGATCTCAGTAACAGCAAGTACCTGCATAAAAAATTCAAGAAAATGGCTACAGCAGCACCTGTTATTGCTCCTCCCCAAGAGCTCACTGCCAATGACACAGTGGTTAGGGGTCCTGTAATGGAAGTTGGACGTATTACTACAGGGTCCAAGATACCAAATGCTTTAAAAACTGTTAGTGTCACTGAAGGGTTAAAGGGTAAAGTAGAAACTGAAAGGGACTCATCCCCCAAAGCTGCATCAAGAGGTGCCTCTCCGTCAGTGTCAACATCTACAGTTCCTCCTGCATCGCTTCTGCAATATTCTTCAAGCAGTTCTACTTCATCATCATCTTCAGTGCCCCATCAGGGACGTTATGTGTGTCCATATTGCAAGTTAGCGTGTGCCAAGCCCAGTGTTCTCCAAAAGCATATCCGTGCGCACACAAATGAACGACCATATCCCTGCACACCATGTGGATTTGCTTTTAAAACAAAAAGTAACTTATATAAACACTGTCGGTCAAGAGCGCATGCTCTGAAGATGGAAGAGGAAGGTTCCAATAGTGGAACAAAATTCAGCTTGCCATCTGCTGAGTCATCAGATGTGGAAGATGATGAGGATGACAACTGCAGCAACAGCACTTCGCCACTGCCATCTGTGAGCACTGCTGCGATTGTAGCGAACACAACGGCTTACTGTAATAACTTCAGCATGTCTTCAAATATCCCCAGCTACATTACAGCAACTACAACAGTAATCACTACTGCAACTGTTAGTACAATCTCAGCTACATCATCAACCAGTGAAAATAACAACAATCAAGAAAAACCAAGGCAAATCTACAAACCCAAATTCCACAAAGCAGCTTTATATCAAGAAGAGGAGCAGCAACAAGCAGCAGAAATTGCAATGACAGCTAAAATTAAAACAGACATTAACAATCCTACCACAGCTATGCAGTTGTCATCAGCTTCATGTCTGAAGACCCCGCCTCCATCCCAGTTTTCTCCCACATCCACCCTGATCTCCAACCTGAAGACCCCATCTTCCCCAAGCCCAGAGTTTCTGCATCGACACATCAGTAAGATAATCAGTGACAACCAAGCAATTGTAGAGACTATAGATCCACACTGGTCCAAGAAGTTTCTTCAACGTCAAAGTAGCAGAGAGCAGCCAAGGGAAGGATCACCTGGAAGTCCTTTATCTCCTTTATCTTCTCCAGGGGTTGATGTAGCAACGCAGTGGCCAAAAAAACTCTTCCATCGTCAGATGTCACTAAATGATCCAGTTATGTGTGGAAGCTCTGACCCTGAGAGAGTTAAATTATCTCTTCAGCACTCAGCTCAGTCAAAACTTGCGCTTGCCCTTCTTCGGCCCAGTAGATATGAATCAGCCTCGTTGTCACCAAGACCTTCAGAAAGTCCTTTATCTGCTGCCTCAAGCACACCTGAACCATCCTTATCATATCAACAACCTCTGAATCTCTCAACAACCCACAATACAAACAGCAAAGTGAATAGTGAGGATCCAAACTCCAGTATGCATCGAAAACGTTGTTTTTCTGAAGGATTTGTAAATACTGGGGCTGGACAGAGCCATTCTGTGAGTTCAGCAGCTGTTCTCAAGGATCATAACATATTAACCACGACAAACTGCCATCGTGGGCAATCAAACTCGAAACTTGCAAGATTAGATAGCACTGGCACCACCATTGTCTGCATAGAAAGTGGACAGAAAAATCATACTAATGAAAAATTATTATACCATCCGCAAAATCCTGAGGGTTCAATCATTAAGGACCTTCTCTTGAAGGCAAGGGCTGCTGCTTCAGCAGGAATTTCTCAGGCTTCTGGGGTTTATACAACTGGAATGATAGACATCATTTCAAATACGGAAACATCCACCAGCACACCAGCCATCAACATGGCGTACCTTCAGTCCTCATACAACTCTGAGGATGATGTATATTTTTCGAACTGTCAATATGTTTGTTCCTTATGTAAAATACCTTTCCGAAATGCACAGAATCTAGAAATCCACCAGCGATATTACTGCACAGGAGAAAGCAGTTCAAAAATAATGAATAATACATCACCACAACATAGTCCAAATGCTGCAATGAAATATGTTTCAGTTTCATGTCATTCTTTAGATTTGCAGCCACAGGTAGCTGGAAGTGCTGAAGATGCTGTACGCGTGGTGGGACATACAATAAAAGGTTCTGGACTGCAACCACTGAATGTTGCCAAAGTATCGCCGAAAGTTGGAAAACAAGAATTCAAACCATCACCATTAACATCTCCTTCAAGAGAGAGTGGAAAAGCTCCAGCATTAGTGGTGCCTCCATTCCCATCACCAGGCCCCCTTCTTGGGAACACGCCTCTTGTTGACAGCTACCACCAGCTTAGCCTTCAGCAGCAGAAAAAGAGGGAAGACAATGACAGTGAAGACACAGTTGAAGACCTGCATCACAGGGGTCCTGTTCTAAAGAGACGAAGACTTGATTCTGAACTTTCAAGAGACACCAGCTCAACAACATCGTCGCCTGATATCAGGCCACTGTCAACCACCCCACTTTCTGGCATCATCTCTCCTTCAACTACTACCCTCAGATCTTTGGAAGAGCTTTCGAAGTGTCCAATGCGACCTAATTCTCTACAGATGTTTGGAGGAGAGGTTCAGATCCTTGATGGTGCTGGTGAAACAAAGACTATGAGAATTGAACCATCATCTCGAGGAGGCAAGAGCCCGGGAGCACCTGGAGGAACTGCTGATCTGATACTTAGTCTTCCTAATCATCTCCATCCTGGAGGGGTTCTGGTATCTTCTGCAAGCAGTAAAGGAGGAGCAACTGAATGTGATGATGAAGTAGCGCCAGGCAGTGTTTCTCCCCACATCGTTGTCACAATTGCAAGATCTGGCCTCCATTCTGGTGGAACAATAGTTCAGGTCCCACAGAAATCATGTAATAATTCAGGCACTGTCTCTTCTGGGCATGTGAAACCTCCTCGCACATCAGGTGGTAGCATCAATCCTATAAGTGCCCCCAGTCCAAAAAATATTACATTGCCACTGCCAAAACAGCAGCAGAAGAATGTCACTGGTGGAGGGATGATACTGCATTCTGTCTCTCCATCAACATCTCCATACTGTACTGGAACACTCCTAACTTCAAACACAAACACGGTCACTAATACATTTCCTGACACATCTAAACTTCTCACACCTATTGTACCAAATATTGCTACCCCAAACTTGGCAGTCCCAGGGATTCCAGCCCCAAACCTTGGTCATCATTTGCCCTTCATGCCATTTGCACCCTTTCTGGCAGATGGTACACTTTTAAATCCTCTGACTAGTATCACAGCATACAACCCATTGACCCTGCCACCACACTCTGGCATGCTTCATCAGTCATCTCAAGTACTGCAAAGTTTGTCCCAGCCTCAGACCAAGGATGAGAAGAGTCCTGGAGCTGTTACTTGTTCATCCATTCCACGAGACAGCAATGTCCCTCCTCCTCCATACTCTGGGGATGTTGTGACTATCCTTCATGGTGGGAAGCCGATTCCTTATGTACCTGGAATGCCAGGCCCTCATACTTTACTTCCAGTAGTTCCATCTCCAGTTGCAGTTAGAAAAGAGCCCTCTCCCAAACCACTCGACCTTGCAAGCCCTTCACGAGAAACACATTCATTCAAAATCACAGATCAAAGCAAGGCAACCCAGCAATCTACATCATTTCTTCTGAAAAACCTTAAAGTTTCTGGGACATCAAATATAAGCACTGCGACCCCAGTCCCATCTAGTCATTATCTTAAAGATGATTTTCCAAGAATTGTCAATTCGAAGGTACCTACAAATACTTTACTAAAGATACCCAAAACTCCAACACAACTTATACCAAGCATCAAAGTTGATACTCCTGCACCAACCACTCATCCTTCCACTGACAGTACTTTATCCACAGTGGAAGAATCTGCACAGAATGTTTCAAACTCAGTATCTCCTCCTCTTCAGAAAATGTCAAAAGGAATAAGACCAGATATATTACCAGTAATGGCCCCAAGAGAAATGGGGAGTGAAAAGGATGATAAACTGACTAAGGATTCATCAAAGAAGACTGAAAAATCCAATGAAAACAATGAAGAATCCAAGACCAAAGCAAGCAGTAATGGGAGCAGGCCAAAGTTCCTCCGGCCAACAACACTGCCTTTGAAGCCAGGGACTTTCGTTCCAAAGAAGCACCATGGAACAGGACTGACCCCTACAGGAACAGTTCTATCACTCGTCAGCCCTGAGACACCACGTCCTAGGAAATCTTATGGACAGTTGTACTTGAATGGACATGCATACACATATCTAGGCCTCAAGTGTTCAACAAGAGCATTCTTCTGTACGCTGAACAGACCTCAGCCTATGTATGTGCCACAAACTCCTGAACACGCAAAGCTATCCATGTACTCCAATTGGAAGGTGAGTGCAGCAAGACTACAGCATGGTGATGCTGATAGCTTCCCCAGCTCGTGTCACTGTGTGAGTCACTAACGATTCGTACTTATGATCTCATATTAACCAGTCAGAAGTTGCTGATTTTAAGGTTTAAACTGCGCCATAGCTTAAGCGGTTAGTTGCTGGTTTTCCACCGTGTCGGCCCGGGTTCGATCCCGGGTCTGGTCAAGTGGGATTTGTGGCAGACAAAGTGGTGCTGGGGCAGGTTTTCTCTGAGTACTTCGGTTTCCCCTGCCAATCTTCATTCCACCAGTTGCTCCACAATCATCCTCACCTATCATCTGGGGCTGGTACAATAGGCCAGAAGTGGCCGCAGTACAAGGGACTTAGTCCCACCCCACTAGTAATAAAAAAAGGGTTTAATCTGTTATATGAAACAAAAGTAAATCAAATTAACTGTCTCATAAACCGAATCAGTCCAACTAATTGATAAATCTAACTAACCCAACACAGCAAACTTCTGCTGAATCTCTGAACTAAGCTGATCAGTTGAGTAACTAATTAACAAACTAACTATGTGATATAAGAATCTTAGGATTAAACAGTCCAAGAACCAAAGACTGCCATTGAGTTGAATCCTGATCCTCTTCAATATAATCTACATTACTAAAACTTATTCCCATAATGTCCATTTTAATATTGTTCCCATTCTGTTTCACAGCTTCAAGCTCATTATTTCCAGGACCCTTCTTCACCAAAATATTGTGTGTTTCTTGTTCCCCCTATATGACCCAGATGTTCATTCCAATTTAATCTTCTTGACTGAGTAACCTTAACAGTACCAGAACAAATTTACATGATCACAAAGTATTTATAATAGTGTCTTCCAATTAGATGACATGTCTGTAATATTCAGCATTGTTCTGTATCTTCATTTATATTTTATAACACTCACATTTATAACACTCACATCCCTTTAGAATCTAATCACATTTACTTCTATTTGTTTGTTATTTTCTTTTCACAGAATCTGATTCACCATGTTTTCTGAAACGTTTCAATATTTTGTTGTGTTTAGATGTATGGCAACTTTATTTCTGTCCAGCAATAATAACTTTTTACAAAGTGTGTACACAACACACAACACATAGGAAACATCTAACCATAAGCCATACAACCTCAAGCTGACATCTCCCATCTTCGGGATGAATTGACAAGGAGGAGCTTAACATTTTACTTCAAATGTTTTAAATTTTTAAATATTTTAGCATTGGCGTTTTTTTGAGGGCAATTTCGGATGGAATGTGAGAATTGAACGTGCATTCAACAATCCTAGCAAGTGTTGTGCTTTTACACGTCGACATATTGTAGCAGCGTCCACGCAGCAAATATAACTGTGTACATCTTAAACAACGACAGTGTTTTCATGATTGTACTATGTGCCTCTGATGATGGTTTTATTAAACCGAAACATGTAAGGCAGAAGTGATAAAGAAGTGACCTACAAAATTGTTACACTCGACGGACTTCTATTGACTTTGTGATTGATAGTGTAACGGACCAAAAATGAAACAATTCAAAATAACTTTTTAATTTTGCAGATTTGTTGTGAAGCCGATCCAAATCCATTTGGTCTGGATCCGGGTCATGCAATGGCATTCTATGATTCAAGGCATCGACCTACAATGTACTCTATTGCCAAACCATCTGAAAATAAGCCCATGATATTGACTCATTCATCATACTGGCTGGAAAAGAACCAGCCCCAGCAGAATGAAAAACTGAAGGCTGATGAGAGGAAGTATGACAAAAGTACATCATCAGACAAATCTCAAGGGGATGCAGGGAAGGACAATGGGACCAAGACAGAGGTAGTCGAGGTAAGGAGACAGTTACTTTTGAGGAATATGTTTTTGTTGTAGAGTACTTTTGAATGCTGAGGTCCTCATGGCACTGAATGTTGAGATGATGGTTTTCAGTGATGTAACTGCAGATAAGCACCGATGTTTCAGAGGAAACTGCTGCCTCCAGTGTGGAGATCCCTGAACATTGACACCTGTCTGCCAAATAAGTCTACTTGATATCCCAAAGACTGCAATGTTGGAGTAGTTTTTGTATTGTGTTAATATTTATATTATATTGTTGCAGAATGCAGCTGTGTCAGGTGAGCTCGTGCCTCGTAGAGTGAAGATTTTTGACGGTGGTTTTGAGTCTAATGAGGACTACATCTATGTCAGGGGACGAGGTTGGTGACCTTGCAACTAGTATAGAAACTGCATGTGATTACTGCTGGTTGTGCCTTGTGTAACGCACAGCATGATGAAGTCTGTTTGAAAGATCTTTGGAAGTGCTCATGATCACATAGTGACATAAGTCATTAATCCATTATTAGTAAGTTTTTTTTAATGCTAGTGGGGTGGGACTAAGTCCCTTGTACTGCGGCCACTTCTGGCCTATTGTACCAGCCCCAGACGATAGGTGAGGGTGACTGTGGAGCAATTGGTGGAATGAAGATGGTAGGGGAAACTGAAGTACTCAGAGAAAACCTGCCCCAACGCCACTTTGTCCACCAAAAATCCCACTTGACCAGACCCAGGGTCGAACGCGGGCTGCTGCGGTGGGAAGCCAGCGACTAACCGCTTGAGCGCGGCCCATCATTAGTAAGTTAATAGATTCTATTTTCAAGATACAGTGAGAACCACAGTCACCATACTTTCATCCTACACACAGGACTTCTTGTCTGTGAAGTTGCCTACTCTAGGTATCCTCAAACATGTTTCCAGCAGACTATAACTGCTTCAGTGTGGCTGACATAACATTCAGTCAGTCTAGCAGTTTTGTTCATATTTTTGTTGTTATGCAGGGGTATCTTGTGAACTGCCTGCCATCCACTGTGTAGTAGGAAGACCTGATGTAGCTCCCATTTTCCTCTGAAACCATTGCAATCTCTGTGTCTTTTAAATTCATTTTCCTTTGTTCCTGTTTTTAATGGAATGAATTTATTACTGGTTCTGTTTGTGTATGAAGGTCATACAAAATGTTATCAACATTCTTTTTTCAAAGTTAACACTTTACACAGTCAAAATTATTGCGGACCATAAGTTAAGGTCTACTATTGATCATTCATTCTGCAGGCTTCGAATGGAAAAATGAAAAAAAGTATAATAAAACAGTACCTCAGATATTTATAGACTTCAAGAAAGTCTGTGGCTCTGAACAGAATTATTCTGTGATATTCTGACTGAAATTGGCCCACTTGTGAAAGTAGAGTCCTTATGCATAAACATTTGGCTTATGCATTTCCTACTTAGAATGATCTCAAACAAGAACCCACTCTTCATCATTACTTTGGAATGCACCATGAAGAAGGTTCATCAAACTAACTAACTAACTGACTGACTGACTGACTGACTGACTAACTAACTAACTAACTAAAACTGTGTTCCTTCATGGAGTTGAGCCCTTCTTGAGAAGCTGCCAATTGTGCATCTACGCGAGAATTTCCCAGCATTTTATGGAACCTGAATGTTTGTTGCTGTGTGGACAAGAGAACAGGGCACTGTGGAGAATGTTTAGACCTTAGGAAGTGGAAGTAACAGGAGCCTAGAGAAAACTGGAAAATGTTATTAGGATGACCAAATAAAAGAAGAGATGAATGACACATGTACCACATATGCAAGAGATGAGAAATTCATACGAAACTTGGGTCAAAGAAATATGAAGGGGAAAAGACTATTCGGGGGACCTAGTCTTAGATGGAGGAATGATATTAAGATGTCGGATTTGAGGTTCTGACACCAATGGTTATGTAGGGAGTTCTCTCTCCTAAAATATGACACCGGTAATCTGTTGAAAGTCAGCTGACGTTTTGGAGAAACATATTGCCTCCATCTTCAGGGTCAAAGAATAAGCCAAGCAAGAAACCAGCATTATAGCTGCTGACAAGCAGAGCTCCTGAAATGCAGAATAGAATTCAGTGGTTGACTCCCGAGAACATAGTATATCTTTGTATTCCGTAAAAATGAGGAATTTCTTGGCATAATGACTGTTTACTTTTCAAGGGAGATGCTACTCCAAGGGGCTAGGTTCCTTTTTCTCCTATTTAATCACACACGCACACACTGGTGACTGTAGTAGATGTAACCAAGATGCCTTCCACGAATTACACATCTCTGCAAAAAACAGACAACAGAACACAAGAAAGAAGAATGCCATGACATGACTGGAAGTAAACAGGGAGTGGGTTGCTTCCCAGTAGGGAGTCACAATGGGGTTAGTGGACAGAGATGATTAAAAATATTTTGGAATTCAGGTGGAGTTTAAAAGAGATATTGAAAATATTTCAGTGTTTATGTGGATATAGAAGAGAGGCAAGTATAAAGTGCACTCATTACTGTTCTAGGCCGTGGTCGTTATGTATGTGAGGAGTGTGGAATTCGATGCAAGAAACCATCCATGCTAAAAAAGCATATACGCACCCACACAGATGTCCGACCATTTACATGCAAACATTGCAACTTCAGGTAAGCAGACAACACGTCACAGACCCAGAGTCAGTTTAATCTCTGCATGGGTGTGCTCTCATCTGTGCTCTAGTGGCACTCTTGAGAGTGGTCATGTACCTTGAAAATATTGCTTTTTTTTTGTGCTATTCATTCATTTTCACTGTCTGTATTTTTTACTGCAAAGTACATAATTTAGTCAACCTTAATCCCATTCATTCTGTTTACAAATCCATATTTGTTGAATTGAGACAACTGTATTATTATTTTGTCTTCACTGAAAATTAAATTACCACAAAGTTCTTAAGAAATCATGTCAGTGTTCAGTTTGAGTAAGGCAAGGGCCACTAGTACATGAAAGCTTGTTAGGTAGCGTTTGTACTGTCTCTTTGAATGTATGTGTGATCCCTGCAGGAAGGTGGTGAGGGCCAACTTGTGCTATCCATTCCGTACATTTGGGCTACACAGGGCCCCACATTCCATTTATTCTAATCGTGTACTGTGGACCTTTTTTTTTTATTGCTAGTGGGGTGGGACTAAGTCCCTTGTATTGCAGCCATTTCTGGCTTATTGTTCCAGCCCCAGATTATAGGTGAGGGTGATTGTGGAGCAATTGGTGGAATGAAGATTGGCAGGGGGAACCGAAATTGCTAGACACAGGAAATAGCTTGGGATTCCATTGATCCACATTTTTGTGTCTGATCCTGTTAAAGCCTCAAGACGAGTTAGTCTCACACAGAGGTAGACCTGTCAAATGAGAATTTGATTAAATGAAACAGGAACATGTACTTTGTATACTGAAATGGAACAGTGGACAGGCTAGACTAATTGGAAGGTTCACAAATAAATAATGCTGTTGCGAGATTAACAGATACTTGTGCTACCACCTCTTTCCTTTCAAACTAAATTTTGTCAAAAAGCTCTTCTCTTTGTGTTAACTTATACATTTAATAGAGTTTGAACCCATAGTCTGCCACTAGGAATACGTTTGTGAATGATTATCTTTATCCCACTGATATATTGGGTTTCTGGACTGTATCCATCGTCCAAACCCAATATATCAGTGTGTTATACACCATCGTCAGAATCCTATAGTAACTACTTGATTATCTTTATGGCTGCCTTTTTGGAGTGTGCAGAAACCCCACTGACTGATCAGCATTCCATCACCTATTATCTCTCTCTCTCTCTCTCCCCCTCCCACTTCTTTACTGCCTGTGCTTATCATGCCACTCCCACAAGAAAATTAATGAAGAACGACACTTAAGTTTACATTAAAATTATTTAATCAAAAATACTTGTTCTTAACTGTTGATATTTCATTTAAAATATTGTAATGTTGAGCATAAATAGAAGAACATTATAAAAACTAGAAGAATTTTGAGTCTCCTCTAAGACATAAAAATGTAATTACAGTAAACCCTCATTATAACGGATCATGTATATAACGGACAAAATATGGCTGTGCAAAATTGTGAATTTTTGGAGATACTGAGGTGATAAGAAGGTTCTGTGGTTAGAAAATATTTAAAATACCAATATAAAAACCTTTATATAATCACATTGTGTGGTTCTATGTTTGTTGCATGTATTTTAACCTATGCTGTAGTTGTGTGAATACCCCTCCACTTGGTTATAGCAGACATCGGTGATAATGGAACCCCCATCTACATTTGTCCATTGTAACAAAGGTTTACTCTGTGTATGTGGAAAAAAAAATTTTGTCATGTCTGAAGACTTAGTATTGAGAAACAGATAAAAATACCCAATTTCCATGTCCTTCTTATGCACTTCATGCTAAAGGTGCTGAACAGTGCTGAAATATGATTGAAGTTATGTGGATAATGACAACTGTAATGTGTGATTTTATTGCCAGTTTCAAGACAAAAGGTAACCTAACTAAGCACATGAAGTCCAAGGCCCATTACAAGAAGTGCATGGAGCTTGGGATAGTGCCAGTTCCAACTGTTGTTGATGACAGCTATATTGACGAAGAGTGCCTTATTAGACAGGTAAGTTCTCTGCCAGCAGAGTCAGTGATGTTTCCTCTGTTCTTGATCTCGGTGAGAATTTTGAATATGAAGTCAGGTACATGCAAATGCCAAATAAGGAAGTATGGGACAGGAAATTGCAGCATATTTTGAAGTAGAGAAGTCCTGGAAAGTACCTCATGATGTAAAAATATTTCCTGACTACTTTTCTTCTTTCAAACACTAGGTACAGCAGAAAGGGGAACATGTTCCTTAACAAGTATTTTTCAGTTGTATCCAGACAGATGCAATATATTGTAACGGACGAAGAATAGTCGCTGCAAGAAGAGTAGCCGAAACAACAGGAGATGCTGCAAGAACGGCCACCGAGGAAAAGGAACGGGGATGCACCGTTAGGCTATTCGGGACGAACAGCCTTAAGGAGGGAGCAGTGTGACATGTGACCCCTACCTCCCCGGCGGTAACGTAGCGCTTGCGTAATAGGCGAGTCATCACCCCACCACTCTCCCCGCGGTGACGTCAC